CCGCCCCTCCCCAGGGTCCCCTTCGCCGCCCCCTCAGGGAGCCCCCCTTCCCCCCAGACCTCCCCAGGGCCCCTTCCCCCGCCCCCTCGGGGAGCCCCCCTCCCCTTTCCCCCATCCCCTCGGGAACCCTCCCCAGGGGCCCCTTCCCCCGCCCCCTCCCCTGGGACCTCCCCAGGGTTCCCCTCCCCTTCCCCTGCCTCCTCAGGGAACCCCCCCCCCGAGACACCCGCCATTCCCAGCCCCCCTCCCTCTTTCCCAGCACCCCTTTCCTGTGCTACCCCAGCATCCTCCTCCCCCCCCCCTCCCTTCATGCAATCTGGTTCTGGCCTTTGGGTGCCTGATGCGTGGTTGACGGAGCCTTCGGGCCGCAGAAGTTGGGTGGCTTTGGGCCGGGTGCTCTGGTTTCCCGGGCTGGGGTGACTCGCTTGGAAGGCCGCATCGCTCACCTCTCTTGAAAGAAAATCAGTTATTTGGTTACTTGGTACTTAAAAGAAAAGAATCAGCAACAGAGGACCTGCTGCGTTGTTAAAATACCACAGTGTCTTTCCCCAGGCTGCTCCCATGACAGATGGCCCCTGGAGTCCCCATCCCTCCACTCATCCTACATGACTTTGTGGGTTGAGGTAGTTAAAGCAGCTGGCCGTTCAGCACCCAGCAAATATCAACAGGTGCCTTTGGCAGAGACAGTATCAGTTTGCAGGAAGGCTCATAAGAGGCCTTGCAAACTACAGAGAGAGCACAAATATGGGAGAACTGGAAAACGTTACTGGCCTTGTGACTGTTGCCCTGGATGAGTTAAGTTACTGTCCTCAGCTTACCAGTCAGTTAGTGAAACCTGTGTGAGAGACCACAGCAAGCTTTGTGAAGTTACATGTTTAAAAGTCAGTACCTAATTAAAAGTGGCTAAATTTTCAGAGGTCATGAGCGCCCACAATTATCATTGAAGTCAGCAAGAGCTGTAGGCGCTTGGCACTTCTGAAAATCTCACCACTTTTATTTAGGTGCCTAAAGATGGATTTTTGGTCCACCCTTCTGTTTTAGGAAACCATCCTAAAGTATCCTCAAATGTTTGGTTTATAATTCTGCCCCACCTCCATTAAGCAATCAGTCTCTTGTCAGTCTTGTGAATAAATTTTTGTATGAACAGTGTAGCCGAGAGGCCTCAGTCAAAGATTGGGGTCCTGTGGTGCTATACGCTGTATGGACAGTCTCTGCCCCAGTAAGCTCATAATCAAGGGTTATGACAAAACATCATAAGTGGAAGAAATGGACAAACTGGGAGGAGGAGGTATCGATAAAGTTGGCATAAGTGGTCACTTACGACAAGTTTCACTGTATTTTGCTGCTCTCTGTAGAAGATGCTAGTAATAAAGGCTGTCTGTTCTACTTACAAAGGTGCCTGTGGTGCTTCCTCAGTTTTTCAGTGGTTTCCAACCCCAAAGATCTACCATGGAGATGAGGAATACACTGTACATCTTTAATGCAGAGAGGCAGTATACATGCGACAGCCTACATCCCACTGCCTTAATCCAAGTGGTTTGGGAGCTGTTGTGTCCACAGATTCCATGTCCACACTGAACATGAGGCAAGCTATAAACCGCCCTATTTTTGCACAGTTGGGGATTCCCAGTGGATCTCTTTCCTTTGCCAGCTATCCTCCTATTCTGGTATAAGGGGAAGAATACAGTGGAAGGGGGACCTGAGCTCTGTTGTACCTGACCTTCTGCTGGATCATCTGGCATCCGCAGTGCAAGTTAGAGTAGGACCCCTCTAACTGCCCACTGTCTTGTCATAGCCTCAGTGTAGTGGAGAACTGGGGCCCTAACTTGGTTTTCAATAACCCTGTAAGTCCAATGTCTGTGGAGCAGACAAAAAGACTAGCTCAAGAATGATCCTACTTCACGTTTTGGGCTTTGTGGCATCCCTGTGGTCAGAAAAGTTAATGCTGGTTTTAATTTCCTTAGTGTAGAATATGCTTCTTTCGATCTGCCTGTTCTCTCATCAGTAAACTTTGCTGTCTAATGTAGCACATGTCAAATGATCAGTCAGAAGTTTAATGAGAGCACTCTCTTGCGCTGTAGGTATCTCACCTCGAAAGACCAGTTCCATGCTTATCTCAAAGCAAAAAGGGAATCCAGGAATCAGGAAAACAATCAAGATGATGTCCGGGAGGAAGATCCTAGTAGCAATGACCAGACAGAGCCTCCAGCAAAACAGATGAAGCTAGATGGTGGTGATCAAGTTAGGAAGCAAGGAAGCCAAGAGGAAGTTGTAAAAGAGGAGGAGAAGAAACCCCAGGAACAGAAGAGAGCCAGAGGCCAGAATAAGAGTCGGCCATGTATGAAGCCAAATCACTATGAAAAGGACAGGCTGTGCCAATCAGTAATCCAGGTAAGTGGCTGGCCTGCTCTGGTTGGCAACTTCAGGGTTCTTTAGATAAGAATATTTTTAGCTGTAAAACACCTAGCATGCATTTGGATTCCTAATAATATGTCATGAATGAGCCATCTACGTACCTATGGAATGGATGTTATTTATTCTCAGGAGGGGGTAATTCAGCTATAAAGCTTCGGAGAGCTTGCACTTTATTTAGGCCCTGTCTAGTCTGGTAGTTTTTGTGCTGGCACAACTCCTGCACCCCCCAGAGTAGATGTACTGCAAGAGGGTAATACGGAATATGCACTAGTGCAACATATCCCCATAAGTCACGGGTAAGTTGTATGAGTGCAAGCCCCATTTTGCACTGGTCCAGTGTGTCTACATTAGGAGCTTGCATTGGTGAAGTTGCATTGACGTTTTACACTGATGCTAGTTTCTCTAAACTAGACAAGCGATCAGGAATGGTCAGAGTGTGTGTAACTGAAGTCCATGGAACTCCTCCTGGAAACAAAGCTGACACACACAGTAAAAATGAGCCCATTTACACAGAAGGGTGGGGGATGGCTTTACATTGAAAGTGTGTTTTGTCATTGAAGGAATGTGCAGAGAAGTGCTACTTTGGCTCCCAGTGCCGCTTCCTGCATGATGTTGGGGAGTACATGGCTGCAAAGCCCTCAGACCTCGGGGATAGCTGCGTGCTCTTCAAGACCTTCGGAAAGTGCATTTATGGAGTCACATGCCGCTTTGCTAGGGCGCACCTGGGGGAGGACTACAGGAACATCATTAATGAGGACCTTGTAAAGCAGTGGGAAGGGAAACCACTGGTGAGAAACAGCCTCAGCAAAGAGCTCCAGCAGCGACTGCGCAAGAAAAAAGTTTGCTTTGACAAATCCAGTGAGTACCTTCGTCACTTGGGCAAGCCCAGCAGCACAGGCAATGCGGGAAACAAGGCAGCAGGCAACTCAATGGGGGAGAAAGGGATGACAAACTGCACAGCATCCAAAGGGAATGCCGAGGGCGTGGATGTCCTACCTCCTGGAGAGGAGGCACCAGAATGTCTTGCAGTGTCAGAGAAGGGAGAAGCTCCTGAATCAATGGTCCTGCAGAGTTCCTGCCTAGCGGATGCATCAAAGGATTCCACTCTCAAAACAATAGGCCCGGTGACCGATGAAGATGTTATAAAACTGCGGCTGTGTGAGAAAAAAAGAGTAAGTGCTAAAGCTGAGGATGGGATCTTATTCTGTGGGTGCGCGTGGTACTGGGCAACAATCGGGTAGTTTTAAAGCTGCATTTGAAAAGCCTCAGTCAGGGTGACTGGCAGTCTTGGCTGAGGTGAGGTACTGGTGAAGTATTCCTCGTGCACATGCCCTTAGTTCTTGGGTGGAGGAGAAGTCTTTCTGGTTCTGCATTTAAACAAGAAAAAGGTTTTTACTTGTGGGGTCGTACTGCAGTGGAGGTTGGTATCTCAGACCCCTAGTGAGGGGAGAGGCCTCCGTACACAGCTATCTAATGATGCTGTCTGCTGTGATTAGAGAACTCCTAGGGCTCCGGTCTGAGCCTTTAGTTTAAAATGTATTTCAGTGATTCTCTCTTTATAAACCGAGTAACCCCAATTATCCAGCCTGAAAGTCAGAAAATGGCTGCCACCCCCATGTGCTGCAGCGTGCATCATACATTGCTCTCCTGCTTATCCAAAATCCCTTTACCCGCTTCCCCCAAGTTTTGTTCTCAAACATGGTTAGACAGTTAATGATTTGGATCTTTGAAGGTTGTGATGTTGTCTTTTTGTAATAAATGCTTTTCAGGTCCGCTGTTCAGAAAAACATTTTTGTCTTGCTCATGTGAAACCCACCTAGCTGTAGGTGTTGCCAGCTCTGCCTGATCTGAACTCACCTGGCAAATGCCTCAGGATGTTTAAGAGGAAATGTACCCAGAAAGGCTGTCAGGCTAAGAAAAAAATCATTGCTTTTCAGAAAAACTAGTTCCCTTCTCTTTCTCGTACCACCTGCTATTACTAAAATGTTGTTTTCCCCATTTCTGTAGCTCTTTCACTTCACTCAGCTGGGCAATGCAATAGATGAGTCAGTTTAATTTTCTAGTCCTCCTGCCCTAGCGCAGTGCTGCAGTGTGGGGGTTCAAATGCTGCAGAGGAATGCTTAATTTAAAAACATACTGTTTTCATGGAAACTAAAAGGAAATGTGATGAATTCTGTAAAAGCCAAACTCCCAGGGTGTGTATAACTGAAATTCCCCACTTGGCCTTCACTATTTTAGCTCTTCTAATATGCCTTTCCGGTCTTTGTTTTCCAGTTGGCTATCCAAGGCAAACTCTACCTGGCTCCCTTAACAACGGTAGGTCAAATAGTTCTAACAGAATTTGTTTTTTTCCCCCACTTGTGAAAATTTGCTGTAAACCCACTTTGATGGGACAAGTTCCTCACGTGAGTGGTGCAGGTCAAAACTTTTGCCAACTCTCCCCTGTTGCTCTGGGTTTCAGTGTGGTAACCTCCCTTTCCGGAGAATATGCAAGCGTTTTGGAGCGGATGTCACCTGTGGAGAAATGGCTGTGTGCACAAACTTGCTCCAAGGCCAGTCATCTGAATGGGCTCTCTTGAAGCGACACTACACAGAAGATCTCTTTGGAGTGCAGGTCCAGTATCGTCACTTCAGCCATGAGGGAATCCAGGAACAACTCGTGTATTTCTTACTTGGGGAAACATCGTCCACTGGGCATCTGCAGGGAGTAACTTTCCCTGTGGGTGAACTGCCCTTGTGTCTTTAAGCTGAGACTCGGGCATTTTTTTTGGAGAGTTCAGCTCATTTTGGCTGAATCTGTCCTGTTTTCCCTTTCAGCTGGAGGGAGCATTTCCAGACACTATGACCAGATGTGCAGAGCTTCTGAACCAGACCATTGAGATGGATTTTGTAGACATCAACGTTGGGTGCCCAATAGATCTGGTGTATAAGAAGGTAACATTTAACAATATCCTCCATCCTTTCTCTGAGCAGGTGTCGTTCCTTTGCTTTTCCTCCCAATCCCTTGTCTGTTCACAACACAACTTAAATGTCGCCACTGTCTGTTCAGTCTAAGGACCATTATTTCTACACACAGAGTAACCTTCTCTATTCCAAGGCTTGTTTCAATGACTTCATAGCAAATGTGTTCATCTTACAAATAATAAGATGGCTTTTCTAACTGTCAGCTCTGCAAACTCAGCCTGGGATCTGAAAGTCAAGCTTGGGTTTATTCTGAATCCTGCAGCATCTCAGCAACAAATCTTCTTCAACTGGAACCTAGGTCATAGAAAATAAGGCCAGAAGGGACCGTTAGATCAACTGCACAGGCCATGGAATTTCAACCAGTTACTCTTGTAGGGAGCCCAATAACTTGTGTTAACAATTAACACTAGTTAGTTCTGTTGCGGGTGTGCAAGCCAGGCCAGAATGCAGCTCATGCTCTGCAGGCCTAACACACTAGTGAGAGCTTATTTTGTCAATGACCTCAGCAGCCACAACCCTAAATTTTACACCAGGGGCAGATTGGTTGAAGAGAGAGGTGCAGTTTGCAGAGTGGCCTTTCTGATCATTGTCACAGTTTCAGGGTTAACTGCACCTTTGACACCCCTCCACCCCAGTCTTCCTCCAGGACTTCCACTTAAAGGTTTCAGGCTTCCTAGCTGTCACCTTTCTCATGTGGAGACCTGTGTCTCTTTTCCTCCAGATGAGTGTTTAGGCTTGCAGTCCCTCTGCACTTCACTGGGATTTCCCCAGCAGGTCTGGCTGGGGTCCAGCACCTGTGATTAGCCTTTCTCCAGGTGTTTCCACAGTGTATACCAGTTATCAGCCAGTTGTCAAAGCAACCAACCTTTACAGAGCAAAATACATTTATTCTTAGGGCAAAAGCATTACAGAGAAAACACATAAAAAACAATAAGTCCCTATCCGCATCTTAAAAGGCTTACCAGAGGTCAGCCACCACAAGACTCTTGGGGCATGGCAAAGTGTTTCTAACCCTTCCACAAGGCTGGGGACCCCCTGTGGACAGAAGGTCCTGTCCATTTGCTGAATCAAAAAGAAAGCCCTGTGTCAGTTTAAACTCAGCCTTTTTAGACCAAAAGCCCTTTCTTTGTCTGTTGGTCTCTGGAAAATCCAGTTTGAGCCAGTATGTGTGAGCCGCTTGCAGGGATAGTCCAACCTTTCTGGGGTGGTTTTAATTTCGCCTTAATTATCCACCACTGTTTTTAGTTCCTGGAGGAACTGGTAATGCTCCCACCCCGAGCTACATACAATCCCCAGCCCACAATAATACATAAACCATTCCTATACAATATTAGGGTGACCAGATCACAAGAGTGAAATATCAGGACACATTGGGCGAGCAGGGCAGGGGGAGGGGAGAGGACGACAATGACAGACACAGGTGCACAGAGCCATGAGAGGGGGCCCTAAGAAGCTGCGAGAGGGGTTATACGGCCCCCTGCTGCAGCCCGCACCACAAGCCACAGGGCAAGGACACCTATTGAATTCAATGAGAATTTTGCATGTGAATTGATGTACCTAGTTCTGAGATTATAAAGCCAGAAGGGATCCAGTGATCACCTGGTCTCACCGCCTGTATAGCACAGACATAGAACTTTCCCAAAATAATTCCTAGAGGATAGCTTTTAGAAAAAGCTTTTAGAAAAACACCATAACCCTTAGTATATTGTTAATTGTTAATTACTCTTACCATTGAAAAGGTATGCCTTATATCCAGTCTGAATTTGTCTAGCTGCAACTTCCAACTGTTGGCTCATGCTCTACCTTTCTCTGGTAGACTGCAGTGCCCATTATTAACTATTTGTTCCCCATGTAGATACTTAGTCTATAACCAAGTCACTTCTTAACCTTCTTTTTGTTAAGCTAAATAGATTGAGGTCCTTGAGTCGATCACTATAAGGCATGTTTTATAATCCTTTAATCAGTCTTGTGACTCTTCTCTGAACACTCTCCAATTTATCAATATCCTTCTTAAATTGTGCACACCAGAACTGGACACAGTATTCCAGCAGTGGTTGCACCAGTGCCAAATACAGAGATAAAATAACCTCTCTACTCCTGCTTGAGATGCCGATATTTAGGCATCTGGTCACCCTCTTTCTGTATGCATTTCCCCAGATTTTTTTTGTAAAAATCAAAACTGAACTGCCCCAGAAATTCTGGCATGTGGAATCATCGTGAAACTCGCATGGCTCCAACCCTGCCGATGAACCTTTAGATCCACTGCACAGACTTCTGCCACTTGAGCTAATGGAGTAAGTGATGGCAGAGGCAGTAGGTTGACATCCTATATGTGATATATCAGCTCTATAGGGGGATGAGACACTTTTTTGCCACTGGGTTTCACAGATATCTGCTGACCGAAGAGGAACTGTGAAACTCAGGAATCCTGGGTCTATTCCAGACTCCTGAATGGAGTGGTCTCTAGTAGTCAAAGACCCTTCTTCCCTGTCCCATCCAGTCTATGTCTATCCTATTGCTGTCTAACCCACCCCTGCTCCTCATCTGATTTCAGCTGCCCCCCACTACCGCTCTGGATTCCTTGTCCCAGTTTCCTGGTCCTGTCTCACTCTCCTCTCTCCCCACCCCCATCCCTCAGATGGGATGTTCGTTCCAGACTGGCAAAATTATAAGGCTTCCCAACATTTCAACACTTCCCATTCTAAATTTTCGGTTGCTTAACTATAGGCTAGCTCTGCCTACAACAAAGCAAATTCAGAAGCTCTGATTAAAGGGATAAGTGTAGCAACCTCCATCATAGCTAGTCACCAAAGATTGAACCCGAGCCATCCAGACTTAGAAGCATGAGCTTCTACTACTTGAGTTCAAGATATAACTCCCTTAGCTGGTAGCTATACAGTTATCCTCTAAAAATCCACCAGAGGAGGGCACAAAACACAGGTTGTACAGTGAATTACAAAAGTGCCAAATATTCTTATTAGACCTGCAATACTTTTCACAATGAACATCAGCGGGGGATAAACTGGGAGTTTAAGAATATTTGGAAAACAATTTTAGAATAACATTCAGTGCTGTGGTTTAAAAGAAAAAAAAACTTGTTAAAACTCATAACTTAGCAGTATTCAGTGTTTGGAAAAAAAAACTATGGGATACAAGTTAAGAATGTTGAAACAGGAAGATGTTATGCTTAGTTACCACTTGGGCAAGGCGGCGTGCTATGTAATGCTTGCAAGATTTCACTGTAATGTTTTACAATATATAGCAGTGCAATGCTGATTCCATTGATATTGTTGAGCAATTCATGCTGATTTTATTTATTTCAGCCCACATCTTAATAGTTTTGAATACTATAGATCACAATTTTCAGCTCGGTTGGTCTGAACATGCAGAGCTTTAAAACTGCTATGCTCTAAACTGTATATTAACTACAATTTTATAAACCTGCATGTCAGAGAACTGTGTGCCACTACTACTAAACAGTGGCACAAGGCTATTCAGTGTGAATCACAGAAATGTAGGACTGGAAGGGACATCAACAGGTCATCTAGTCAAACCCCTGCACTGAGGCAGGAGTGAGTAATAACACTAGACCATCTTTGACAGGTGTTTATCTAACCTCTTAAAAAACTCCAATGACTGCTATTCCATAACCTCTCTAGGTAACTTGTCCAGTGCTTAACTACCTTTACAGTTAGGAAGTTTTTCCTAATGTCTAACCTAAATCTCCCTTGCTACAATTTAAGCCCATTGCTTCTTTTTCCTGCATGTCCTGAGTGGGATGGGGGTGAGTCCAGGCAGTGGGATTGGGGAGAGGGAGGTCGAGGAAGTCGGTGGGTGTGGACCAGGGGAAGCAGGGTGGAGGAACTGAGGGGGGACAGGACTGGGACTGGGGGAGTCAGGGGGGCTGAGGGGGATGGGACAGGACTGGGATGGAGGGAGCAGGGTAGGGGCTGAGGGGAGCATGAATGGGACAGGGTAGAGAGCTGTGTAGAGCGGGGCGGGGGAGATAATGGGGCTGGGCTGGGGAGGGTCGGGGGATTTGGGAGAGGGACAGGGTCTGGAGGAGATGAGACAGAGGGGAGCAGGACTGGAATGGGGGGGAAGTTGAGGGGGTGGGACAGCAGGGGGAGTGATGGAGTGGGATGACGGGAGAGGCTGAAGAGGAGATTTGGGGTGGGGCAGGGACTGAGGGCAGTGGGTTCGGGGTGGGAGGTACAGGGGGGACTACGGGTGAGGCTGAGGGAACAGGCTCAGGGTGGGGGCTGAGGGCAGTGGATTGAGTGGGGGCACGGAGGACACTGCAGGGGAGGCAGAGAGAACAGGGTCGGGGACTGAGGGCAGTGGATTGAGGGTGGGGGGCACAGGGGGGGACACTGTGGGGGAGGCTGAGGGAACAGGGTCAGGGTAGGGGCTCAGGGCAGTGGGTCTGAGGGGAGCCCTCCCCCAGAGGGACCTGCCAGGGGGCCAGGTGAGCCCAGCAGTGCTTACCTGGAGCGGCTCCCAGGAAGCAGCCAGCAGGCAGATCCCTCCCAGTCCCTCTGGCCCTTTCCTAGGGTCGGGTCGAGGGGAGGGGGGCGGGGGCGCTCTCTGCCCCGCGACCGCTGCCTGCTGCCGGAGTCTACAGGCCCCGCCCCGCTGCAGCACACAGCAGAGCGAGACCTCCTCACTGCCTCTCTGTGGGCAGGGGCAGGGCTGTGCTCTGCAGGCTCCTGACGGCCGGGGGGTGGGCCCCGTGGGCTGGCTCCGCCGCGCCGGGAGCTCAGCTGCGCGCTGCCCCAGGGCCCAGGGAGGGAAGGTGAGTGGCGCCGGCGGCGCCTGCTTGCCGCTATTTCCCTCATATAGGGGGACCAGACATCCCGACCAATGTAAGGTCGGGACGCGGGTCAAGTCCCCTAAAATCTGGTCACCCTATACAGTATAGTCCCCCAAAGCTACAGCATGCAGTTGCACGGTCAATCTTGACTGCACTTCAAGATGAAAAAGTGCAAATCTTCTCTAGTTTATACAAATGAAAAGCAGCGGTCTGGTTAATTTCAGCAAGGCTCTTGGGTTAGGTGAAAATACAAGGATCTCTGACTGTGCCTGTTTTATCCCATAGGGGGGTGGATGTGCCTTAATGAACCGTTCCAACAAGTTTGAACAGATAGTCAGAGGAATGAATTCGGTGAGTACCAGGCATCCTCTGGCCGAGAAGAACGAGCTTCCAAACAAAGCTCTTTTGTCTGGTTTAGCTTCACTCCTCCCTTTGTGCAGGTACTGGATGTTCCTCTGACAGTGAAGATAAGGACTGGTGTGCAAGAAAAAGTCAACCTGGCTCATAAAGTAATCCCCAACATCCGGAGGTGGGGAGCTTCCATGGTCACGGTATGGGCCCCTGCCTGTGTTTGATGTCAGGAATTTGGCCAGAGTCCATGATGCTTTGTCTGTCTGTCTATCATTTAAGTGCATCTAGTCCAATCATCCTTTTTGGTAGTGGCCTGTGCCTGATGCATCAGGATAGAGGCATGAACCCAGACATCTGTGCAAAGTTGTATTGTGAGGGGAGGAGATATTACAGTGAGGACACGTTATCATTAATACCACCTTGGTCTCTGTCCACATTGATAATCCCTCTGGCTTCTTGCTCTAGCTTGCAAGCACTGACAATGTTATGTTTGTTCATGATGTCTTTTTGAATTCTGCTAACCAGTTCCCCTACTGTTCACTGCAGCGCTGACCTCTGCCGAATGCTTAGCTTCTGTGCTATCAAAACGTTTCACTCTTATCCATTTTGAACTTGTTGCCTTTCTTGTAGTATCTCGACCTAGCTGCTTTAGATTACTTGGTGAGGTACTAATTGTAACTTCTTTCTGTTAGCTTCATGGCCGATCTAGAGAACAGCGTTACACAAAGGTTGCAGACTGGGAGTACATAGCAGAGTGTGCTAAATTAGCCAGCCCAATGCCTCTGTTTGGTATGTTTCTCTCGGCTGATTTTATTTTTTAACTTTTTAATGATTTGGTTATTTTAAAACCGTTTGTTTTTCTGAAATGTGATCTGTGTATGGTTAAAATATTACTGGTCCAATTAACATAAAATCTGTCTTCCCCCAAACTTGCATCTCCTTCAGTGAGATTGTCTTCATTATTTGTTTGAGGGAAAGTTGAGACCTGAGCACATTCAGTCTTGGCAGGGAAGAGTGAAGCAGAGAGAGAACTAATGACAAGTCCCTAAAGTGATGTCAGAGAGGTGATAGATCGGCTGTCACCAGTAGTGGTTGACCACTTAGCTTAAAATGCAGTTCTGGTCTGAAAAATTACCCAACAGTTCGACTGTAGTATAACTCCATTCAGGTCAATGAACTGACAGATGAATCTCCCCCACAGTCCCCTTGTGTATTCCAAGTCTCATCTACCATTAAACTCCTGTTAGTGTTGTGGAGCCATGAGGGCTTGGGCGGGGTGAGCTGTACTTCATTCCTGTTCATGAATCGTCAGTTGAATTATTGTCTAACACAGTTCTATCCTCATGCTTCTGAAACCCCAGGGCAAGATAATATGATTGCACAGGTGTAACAGAGCAGAATTTGAAAGTTTCTGACGATAGAACTTGACCTGTAAAATATTATATACACACACACACACAAAAATAGGTGTGTGCATGTCAGTCACCACCTCTCGGGTCTGAGAAACTCAACAAATTGCGCTGCAGCTGTGAAGGGCGTTCTTCTCCACCCCCTCACTCAAAGACTGTGCAGTGAGGGTCCGATAGGAGGTGAGTCAGTGATTTTGCATGGCTTGGGGTGCTGCTGGATTCACCGCGCCAGCCACAGGCTGTGTACTACACTTTTACTGCCCCATGCAGACCTTGCTGGACTGTGTTAACATGCTCTAGGTATCTAGAGCTAGTCCGCAGGATTCACGCGGGGCAGTCAAAGCGCAACACAGCCTGTGGCTTGGGCAGTGAATCCAGTGCCCCAAGCCCTACTAACAATCACTGCGGCTTGCCTCCTCTCAGACCCTCACTGCTCAGTCTGTGGAGGAAGAGAAGCCAGAGGGGCAGAAGGAGGCAATGGCAGAAAAGAGGGAACGTACCAGAGGAAGGAGAAGAATCATCCAGGAAGGAGGTTCAGGCCCAGCACTGCCAAGGTAATTAAGGGTCCTAGGAGGGCAGCTTTCCTAGGGTTGATCCTCCCCTTCTCCCTGTTTGAGGGTGGGGACTAGAGGGTCCTTGCCCTCCCCTTGGCCATAGACAGCGAGGCGAGGAGGAACTGTTCCTGGCTTCTCTGGGGGAGGGGAGAGGTCCTGTTTTCTGCAGGGAGATCAGAGAGGGGAGAGAGGTCCAAGAAACCTCCCTAATTTTTTTTTAATAAACGTTCTAAATGTTTCAAAGGAAGCTTGGCATCTCTGAATTATTGGGCAGTGACACACAAGGCAAAAAACCTGTCGTGACCCTCAGGTCCCAGGTTGAATTTTCAAGATTGGCAGTTAGAAAAAATCCTTTTGTAAAAAGAATAAATGTAATCTGTAGTACCTGTGAGAGAATAAACATGGAGCCCCCAATGCCATTTTACAGGGTCACTTTTCAGAGTATAAGGGCACTTTTGAGTTTCATCCTGTGCCATTTCATTTTGACCTGATCTTGTGCACCACTCTGACCTCCTGGGTTCTCTCCTCTCCAACACAGGAAATGGAGATATCTTGTCCTACGAAGATGCTAATCGAGCCATGCAGACTGGAGTTTCAGGAATTATGATTGCAAGGTAAGTGGCTGCCTTTCCTATTTACTTTTTTCAGAGTAGCAGCCGTGTTAGTCGGTATCCGCAAAAAGAACAGGAGGACTTGTGGCACCTTAGAGACTAACACATTTATTAGAGCATAAGCTTTCGTGGGCTACAGCCCACTTCTTCAGATGCATATAGAATGGAACATATATTGAGGAGATATATATACACACACACACACACACCCATGAACAGGTGGGAGTTGTCTTACCAACTCTGAGAGGCCAATTAAGTAAGAAAAAAAACTTTTGAAGTGATAATCAAGCTAGCCCAGTACAGACAGTTTGATAAGAAGGGTGAGAATACTTACAAGGGGAGATAGATTCAATGTTTGTAATGGCTCAGCCATTCCCAGTCCTTATTCAAGCCTAAGTTGATTGTATCTAGTTTGCATATCAATTCCAGCTTAGCAGTCTCTCGTTGGAGTCTGTTTTTGAAGTTTTTCTGTTGTAAAATAGCCACCCGCAGGTCTGTCATTGAATGGCCAGACAGGTTAAAGTGTTCTCCCACTGGTTTTTGAGTTACGATTCCTGATGTCAGATGTGTCCATTAATTCTTTTGTGTAAAGACTGTCCGGTTTGGCCAATGTACATGGCAGAGGGTCATTGCTGGCACATGATGGCATATATCACATTGGCAGATGTGCAGGTGAACGAGCCCCTGATGGTATGGCTGATGTGATTAGGTCCTATGATGTTGTCACTTGAATAGATATGTGGACAGAGTTGGCA